ATATATATATGTATATATATATGTATATATATATGCATAGGCGTAGGAGCCAGGGGGGCTGGGGGGGCTGCATCCCCCCCAGTCATGTAAATGCTGGTTGAATTCGGCCAATTTTGTGCAGGGGCGTAGATAGGAAAATTCATAGAGGGGGCGAGAAATGAAGATATCCCGACAAAAATTTGACACTAATTCTCATTTTTTATTATTTTGAACATAACATAAGGCCACTAGAACTAATCGAAACAGAAAACCATCGTTATTTTTCCGACAAGTGCAGAAATTTTCCGACAAAATGGCAGTTTAGCCTTATAGGTGGATTTTTGCCCCCCCCCCCCCCCGACCCCCTCTATCTACGCCACTGGTGGCATTCATCACAAATTTTCTGGCAGGTGAAGTTTCTCTTCCTCCTTCACTCGGGCAATAAATTTGCAGCCCCCCCCCCTAAATTCTAAATGCCCCTACAGAATTAAAGAATTATAGTGACTGGAAATATTTGCAATTATGCAGAAATTATCAGAGTTATCATTTAATTCAATTCGTGGGTGCCGTATTTAGCCTCGATATACAATTTACAAAAATAGGTAAATACGACCCAGTTATCATAAATTGGTTGAGTTGTAGAAAAACAATTTACAGTAGAGTTAAGTTAGGTAATATTAAGCCTTACACATCACTGGTTTAATTAGAAGTTAGAATATTAATTATGAATTTCCTCATTTATGTAAATTCTCCAAAGACAATATCACTAAATATTACACGTTAATTCTAGTCAAGTTTGAGGTGATATTCGCACAATTTTTAAGTAATCAAATTTTGAAATCATTAATATGTTATACATCATTCATGAGAAAATCCCATATATGTATATATATATATATATATATATATATATATATATATATATATATATATATATAATGAAGCTAGTAACTGTACTAAATATGAAATGAAATATGAAATAATTGCCATTATAAAGTAAAAAATACATAAACACTTCTATACTATTCTGTCAATAACATTTATAAGATACAAGTGTCTGCAAAACAGTATCAAAACTTTATTATACACATTATTGTTAGAAATTTAAATCTACTGTAAACACCAATATATGAAAGTATTACGACAAACAAAATAAATTTCTTGTGATTTGCCCAATAAGTCAAATTACATAATTATTAATTGTAAATACTAATAGAAACATTATCCTTAAGTATGAAACTATCAAAAACACCATTCAATGAAAACATTTAAATTAATAGTTTAAACTGTAAATCCGCGAGGAATATACACATTAAATATTATCAACTCAAATCTTTAACAAAGTTTAAAAATTCCAAGGATGAAATAAACCAAATTATTTACATGATTCATTCCAATTTCTAATAGTTTATTTAAAACCTAATCAACCTGCTATATCAAAATTTACTAAATGTATAGGGTGTGTTAAGCTTCATTGATCATTTTTTGACTGTGCTCTGAGATACATCTAATTACCTCAACGAGTGACGTCACGCTTTGAAATTTCTAGTCTTGCAAATAAACATATTTCCCAATAGGTCAGCATGGCACTTTAACCCGGCCAGTTTCACACCTTGTCCTAATATTTGGCAATAAAGTGCACTAATAGCATAGTATCCTTCAGACTAGAAGGTATTCCATCAGGTGAAACGTGAAGCAAGTTGTGACGTCTACAAATCCACCGTAATTGGGTAATGTCTGAAAGTGCGGAAGTGTCATACTGATCTGACCATTCGCAAGTGTCATACTGATCTGACTATTCGCAAGTGTCATACTGATCTGACTATTCGTTTGGAAGAAATTGGCGAAAAAACAATGGGTCAAGGCCCTGGAAATAATAGTATGTATTAATGTATGTCTATCTATATCTATATCTATCTATCTATCTATCTATATATGTATGTGTGTGTGTGTGTGTGTGTGTGTGTGTGTGTGTGTGTGTGTGTGTGTGTGTGTGTGTGTGTGTGTGTGTGTGTGTGTGTGTGAGTGTGATTTGAACCATGACTGTATGGCGACAGGAAGTGCTCTGTCCTTGCTTGAGATACCAGGTCATCTCGCTTTTCTTCGAGGAGGGTGCCAGTGTCGATAAACGCTCCAGACACAGATAATGCCCACGTGGTGCTTGGGAGAACGTTTTAAGGGCGTGAGGGTTGGGTCAGAGTCGCCATCTTGAAATCTTTTGAAATATATGATTTCTTAGGCTGAATGACAGTAGTATATATATATATATACATATATATATATATATATATATATATATATATATATATATATATATATATGTGTGTGTGTATGTGTGTGTGTGTGTGTGTGTGTGTGTGTGTGTGTGTGTGTGTGTGTGTGTGTGTGTGTGTGTGTGTGTGTGTGTGTGTGTGTGATAGATAGTTAGATAGATAGATAATATAGATATATGACTGACCGTCATATATATATGTGTGTGTGTATTCCTGTATATAAATATATATATATATATATATATATA